CTGAATGTATAAAATTAAATAAAAATAAAAATCATGTTATAGGCAATAAACTTATCAACTATCACCTGTTCTGTAGGTCAGATGAGTACCCACTAACTAAATGAAAAATAAGACCAAGACACTAGATTGCAATCACTATGTGCCAACTAGGTTCTACATTTTATTAGTTCCAGAGTTGCTTTTTCCTACCCACTCCTCTATTGCTGAAACTAAACACATGCGAGGTATACTTCCCAGACTGTCTTGCCAGCTGGCTCCTTGCTGGATTCTCCAGTGGAAGGCATTGATGGGAGGTGAGAAGGCGGGAGAAGAGCACAAGGCGAGCTTTCTCTACTTCTGACATCACAGCTTGCAGTGCTTATGACAGCATTGCCTGTGGTAGCCCAGAGACCCAGCATTGGCAGTGTTCACAGTGATGGATGTTGGGTGCCAGCAGGTGACACAGTGGTTAAGGCCCTGGACTCTCACACAGCTGTTTATAATTGGAGCCTCAGACCCAGCAGCTTAAAACTCACTCCGGGTGTGGGCGCATGTGTGCGCAAAACCCTGAAAGGAGAATGGAGGAGAAGGGATTGCAGCATAGCCAACCACTCTGGAGTGATTTCTCATCTTCTCTCTGTCTCTCCAGTGAGCTTATGCACCCTATAGCAAAAATCTCTGTCATAGTGGTGGATGTTGTATGTGAGCTTCTGAGGTCAAGCAATCAGTTCCAACAGGAGTAGCCTCAGTGTCTTGGGATCTGGACAACGCAACCTTTCATTTCCCTTTCCAGCTCTAGTGGTGGTGTGGCCTTCCTGCAATTATCAATCAAGAGTTTATCCCTCATAACTCCTTTTTTTGCTTCTCTGGTTTTTCAAACACATATATTACCAATTCCTATATGAAGTCATCTCTGTTCAATATGCCTAGACTCTTTTCTAATTTATTTTTTATTTTCTTAAGTTTCTTTCATTCTTTCTTCCACGAATTAAAGAGACAGAGAGAGAGACAGAGACATAGAAAAGTACCCACAAAGAAGTGTTCACACCATGATCCATACCTTTTCTTATCCAGCCCCAGGTCATGGGCATGTGTACATAGCTCATTCAGAGATGTCTCCAGACATGAACCTGGAACCTTCTTATGGGGACAAGCCTCCCAGAACGCTGCAGTACTGCTCAGCCATCAGCCAGCCCCCCTGTTTTCTTTCCTAGATGCTAACTGATATAATAAACCTAGAAAGGGCTATTTATAACTTAGATGAATATATATATGTATATATATGTATATATATGTATATACACACACATACATACATACATGTGTGCGTGTGTGTGTGTGTAGCCAAGGAAATACAAAGGAAAGAGAGAAGCTCTATTGTGAACAGAACTTTATGTCACACTGACTGCAAGTTAGAGAGAAAAAATGAAAGTGTCAACAACCATAAGATTCCAATATTTTCTGTTCTCTGAGCAAATACTCGATATCTTCAAAACTATATAACCCTTTACCAAGAGTTTACATATTTTGCTAATCTGTGTCTCATTTCGTAGTTGACACTATATAACACAATATTTTGTATTATATGATGAATAATCATTTCAGCCTGATCAGCTGATCTGTAACATAATATACCTTTAAAAAGCCATTGTCTAGTGTTTCACATCTGCTTTCTATAGTGAAAAGCCTCATAGTAAGCAAGGACAGAGGACCTGGGATAAGGTAGCTGTCAGCATCTAGTTGTATATCTTTACTCTCATCCTTTCTTGTGTTTCACTTCAATAACTACCCAAGTCCTACGCTAAACCTCATTTTCTCTTTTGTATGAGAAGCCTTTCACTCTAACAAATTTTCACACCAGCACATGCTGAACTTCTTTTCCTATAGTCTCAATTCTGTGTCAATTGCATCCTGTCTGATCCCCAACTGTTGGGACATCTTGAATCCTTCTAATCAATTATCAGCACTTTTTTTCCACCACACAGTTGAGTTCTCTTTGTCCTTTCGTGTTTACTTTAAGTTCACTTCTGTTATTTTTTTGAATTTTGAAAGAGAATGGCATTGTGTTTTTGATCTGGTCTCAGGTGATGTGTTTCGTTTGTTCATTTCCACCATGGCCGTAAGTCTTAACTGACAGTTAACTGTAATGATCATTTGTTTGCAGTAGCTAAGGTCAATTATGTTTTGTTTTTTAAGCAAATGTTACTCCCTCTAAATCTTCTCTTGACATTAGCTTATGTACTGAAGGCTTCCAAGATTTGGAGGTAGTGACAAAGAAAACATAATTCCAGGATAGGGAGTTGTGAGAACTTCAGGAACAAGTCCAGGATTATCTAAAAGAGAGAGGTCATCTGACTTCCCATACTTCAATTTAAAATGTGCTATCTGTAGGACACTACTAAATTAGATCCTGGTACTTTCCCATGTTTAATGGGGAAAAGGTAGAGAGGCCAATCATTAAAAGTAAGAACTTCCTGGGGGGTGGGAGGCAGCAGTGGCTTGGTGCTTAAGACTCTGGGCTCCCACGTGGTCAGCCATGGGTTGAGTCCCGGACCCAGTGCCTAAAAATTCATGCAGGACACATGTGTGTGCCTGCCCAAAATCCTGAGAGGAGACTGGAGAAGGGGTTGAAGTGTAGCCATCCCTCCTGGGGAGTGATATGTTACTATCTCTCTGGTGAGCACGCATGCCCTATAGCAAAAATCTCTAAAAAAAAAAAAAAAAAAGAACTTGGGATGGATTGAGGTTTTTCCAACTCTGAGTTAAATGGTATGTCTCAGTAAATGGGGCTTACACTTTCTTTTCATGCAATTCATAGTATTAAATAATAATAATATCTGTGTAAGACACTAAGTATTGTGCATTATTCAGATTATTCCTTTAATGTGAACCACCTGTACAGTCTCATTTTTCTCCAAATAAATCTTCCCAGCCATCTCCATTTCTTCTAGCTTCCTTCAGATCTTACCGTCCATCCCTTCCACACAGCACCAGCATGATCATGTCTGTGTTCTCTTTATTCCTCCATCTGCGATGTCCAGTCCTTGCTCTAGCCCTACCCAGATGCTGTTACATTTTTCCATCTGCTTACATTGCCATTGACTTGACTCCTGTGAAAGGGAAGTCAGGGTGGAAGGAAGGGGCCTGACCTGTCTACATGGTGGAGGAAACTGCCGGAACACTCCCTGGATCTCTCAGGGCCTGTGATGATTTTACAGGAACAGAGCCCACCAGCTCGTTTGAGTGTACCCTGCATGTTCATCAAGATGTTGTGAGGGAAAGACTTCCTAAATAAGACCCCCAAAGCACAGTCGATCATCCCCAAAATAGACAAGTGGAATTACATCAAACTAAGAAGTTTCTGCATGGCAAAAGACACAGTAATTATTGTGAATCGATAGCTCTCAGAATGAGAAAATATTTTTGTAAATTATGCATCACATAAGGGACTGATAACCAGAATACACAAGGAACTCAAGCTGCTGTTTGGGAAAAAAAAGAAAAAAAAAAAAAGATCAATCCTATTAAAAGATGGGAGAATGCGTTGAAAAAACCACTCTCTAAGAATGACATATGAATAGCAAAACGATATATGAAAAAAAAAATGCTCCATATCCCTCATTGAAAGTTAGATGTAGATCAAAACCACAATGAGATACCACCTAATCCCAGTCAGAAGGAGTAAGCTTAAAAAAAAAAAAAAAAAGAAAAGAAAGAAAGAAAGAAAG